CCTTCATCAATGGTTATGTACACAATCTACACTAGGGTACCTTATACAACACTAATATTTACCTGTAAATATTAGCATTTATCAAGCATGATGCCTTAGTCATCAAATACATATCGATGAAAGAAAAACAACGAAGAGAAAGAAAAAACAAGGTTGTATAGATATATTTATATACTCATTAATTTCAAGTATATGCCACAACCTTTGCATCCTGAAAAGCATTGAGTAGGAAGTACTGCTCGTCAATATTATCGGAAGAAACACAGAAAGTATGTTCGTCGACGATTATTATGGTATTACTTTAACAATGCAAGCTGGAATTTTTTCAAGAAAAAAACATACTAAAGAGAAGGTTCTCTTAGCAAATAAGAAAATATTGTTTTTCTCTATAGGCAGTGTCATGATGACAAGGTAAAAATTTCATCGAGACCAAAAACTCACAGAGCTCGTGATTCGCGAAAAAAAACTTTCCAATTAAATATTTTTGTGGTTTATATTCAATGGAATTCTTCAGAATTTTTTCGTTTACCTGTTGAAATATTGTTGATCGATTTTGATATGATCTACATTCAACGATGAATATTCAAGTCAAGGTATTATAATAGAACCTATCTTCAGATCCATTTTTCTTTTCTCAGCGAGATTCGTTTCAGATGTGTTTTAAAGCGTTCATTTATTTAGATTATATGTTACAGAAGTCGACCAATATGCTTATTTTTTTTTTATATACCCTTTATTTATCGATTAAAACAAGTTCTCAAGTAATAAAATAGGAAGAAGTCAAGTATCTGTAGTGATAGACTACACGATTTTTTTCCATTATGTAATTAAAAGAAAGTATAGAACTCTGTTATAGTATGATGTCCCAGTATCATGTTTATTAACCAACAGTGCAATTTTTCCAATTTTCTAGAACATACTTTATTTAATCTTTGTAATATGTTTCGAGTGTTTTAGCGATTAGATTAAAATGAGAAAGTAATGTCGAGCATGACAAAATTTTTACAGCTTCCTTTTTTTGAAAATTTTTAAGCAGAGAAGTAAAACACGATCGGAAATGTCTTCTTAGAGGCTACAAAACTCAATTATCTACAAAAATTCTCTTAGTCTTTTGATCCAGAGTGATAGATATTCTGCTAGAGTTTTAACCTGTGACACCGTACACATCCACAAATCGAATGATGCTATTTCAATGTGAAAATTTGCTCACAGACAGGTCTATTGCTGAGAAGAAGGCTTCGAACAGTTCACCTCGAATAATGTTTTCTTTACAAGTTATTAAAATCCCCAAAACCAAGAAACCTGAGCATTCTTCGTAGGATATGAGTAATTTTTAAGGTTATAGGTCTGGGTGTGGTTGTCGACGTATGTGTGAATGTAGGTGTGAGTATTCATCAAGAGACACTAATACCTACATCCACCAATACCCTGCATTTTGAATTAGTTGAAACTGTGTAGGCGTAGTATGACTTTTTTCGTGCACTAGAAACGTGCAGAAATGTTGCTGCTTCGATCGATTTTAATCTAAAAGTCAAGCTTTGAGACAAATTCATATATTTATACAGAATTCAAATCATTCTCTGCATAGCAAACATTTGTGAAGACTCATAAAATATTTTATCTTGTCTTGAAACTCTTTGTAGCAAAAACTTTTACGCATTCAGCTGAACAAATGTAATACAGCCTATAGCCAAAGTCTCTCCATATCCACTCACAACCGTGTTGCGAGTGCAAGTGTTCGGGGAGCAAGTTTCGCTAAGGAGCAACTGTCACGGAAGCATCTTTCATGGAATTCTCAGCAAAATTTATGAATCTTTATTGCCGGTGAAGCCGGCCAAGCTAGTAACAGCTTTTAACTGAAGCGGAGACTATTGAATGTCATTAGAAGCTTTGGAAGTCATATTGAACTTTTCAAAAACAAACAAACCAATTTTGCCGCCGAAGCCTACAGAGATTTTAATTACGCTTGAAGATTCTAACTATCGCGTAAGTCATGGGATCATTTCCACTGATGTCACAGTATTTTCAATAAGATGTAGCTCCAATCGCCTCAATCTCAACGAAAGCTCATCACCAACATTCTCCAAAACAAAAGAAGGTATTATCAAAATTTTTAAAGGCAGGAAAGAGCACCCTCCCTCAATTCTTGTCTTTACTCCGTCTGGTCGTGCTGCTTCTATGTGAATCCACACATAAAGACCTGTATATAGAGAAATAAATACAATTGGAATGACAGCGTCACTCAATAAATGTCAGTACCAAAGTAGCAGTATAACTATCTCTTCAGTTCGTCATAAACAGAAATCCATGTTTTGGGGAAAGTGAGATTTTCTTTATTAGGTTACTCATTTTTATGACTAGAATAGGCTAAATAAAACTTCACAATGAGCAACCAGATAGAAATATATGAAAATTTCTTTTTCAAAATTTAAATATTGGAATGAATATATCAATGATTGGTCCCTCTTACGATGTAATAGAACCTTCAGCATTTAACATCTTTTCTATGAAAAGCTATGCTCAAAAATGTTTATGCCGATTGAACTAGAAGTGAGAAAGCAAGAAGTTGATTCCCGAATCGAAAATAATTCTGAAAATCTGTCATGGTCTATTTTGTAAACGATATGAAAAAATCTCAATCCATTTTATTTCGATTCGCGAATTTTCTCCAATTATTCTTCCATATATAGTTTATCGTTGATTATAGCTCTATACTACGTCAGAAAACACAGGCTGAATTGAGCCCCTCCTAAAAGCCTTGGCTGCTAGTCTGGAATTACTGATTTTTCCAACACATTAATATACTGTGATAAGGTCAGACTGATACTTTAAGCTGAAAAAGTTTTAAGAAACAGTTTTTTTTGCTGTTTGCATATGCTACAGAGATTTTTCATTTGATTCGCCTGAAACTTATATTGACTATTCATCTTATTCTTATTCATCGTTGATCATAGCCCAATCGTCAGCTGATGAGCATAGTCAGCGCTGTAAGTCTACCATAACGTAAGTTTTATGTTGATCGAATCTCTCGTTTTACATCAAAGATACCTCACGAACGCAAGATCAAGCCAATATTAAGAACTAGCTTGTCGAGCTGCATTGAATCATATAGAAAATCAAGTTTTTTGAAATATATTTCCCTTTAAATGATGTTCGTTGAAAAGCATCGATGCACTGCAGCTTTGCATAGCCGTCAAGGATGAGAAGAAGGTTCGTTATTTTTTCTGTGCTTTCAAATAACGAATTCAAAACTACGAGTATAAATATCTATAGGTACATATGCGTATATGCTAGGCACAAAAAAATAGTGTTTTTCATCCTATCTGTATGCTCTGTGAAAGTTGCCCACTGCCCATTTGTGACTGATCGAATTAAATTGTTAGTTGCAAAAATTTTATAGAGAATGGATTTGTCTTCGTAGTTGAAGTCTGAATAACGCTTTATACAACGAGTTTGTATCTTCTTACAGATAACTTAGAATCATGTAGTATTTCTTGATTTGAATGTTTGCAAACGAAGAAATGCTGCAAAACCTATGCCATATCTGACGGTTTGTGTTGGATTAAAGGCTACACCAATACTCTTGTTAACGATATTGGATATTTATAGACCCTAGTAGATCGCCATGGACTCTTTAAATAAGTGTCTTATATAATATATAGCAATTTTGAGTTATTTTATAAGTTACTTGCATCATGAGCTCTTATTTTTGTAGATTTTAGAACTAGGAAGTTGTGAATAAATAGAAAATCCACACCTACATCAGGTCATTTATAAGTTTTGAACTGTTGATTTGCTTAATCATAGAGAAATCTTGGATCTTCTGTTTGACTTGATCATGAAAATTTGTTAAATCTTTTATCTTGTCTCAGAATATTTTCTTATTATTATTTCAAATGATCGAATCGTTTTGAACTTAGTTTAGCAATCATTGGTTCTTACGATAATTTCATTGAATAGAGAAGAGTAACTTTTAAAGAACTTGAGACCATTTTCATTTACAGGGAAGTCAAGACTGATAAAAACATACAAGAGTACAAAGCATTCGCATCTATGACAAAATTTATCTTTTTTTTTATTGCGAATAAAATCACCTTTATTTGCAAAAAAAATAAAAGTAAAAACGGAAGCGCGAAACCAAGTTAAAGGTCATACATGTGCTTGAAATGAAGGAAGTCAATTAAACGTGTCCAAATATTATGTCTTTTTAAAATGAGTCACAAACTAAATATTTTTCTTTCTGATCAAATGTCATACTGTTACCCGTCACTACTTCCTTTGTCGAGTCAAACATAATAAATTGTATTGACATTAATAACTAATCGCACGGAAAACAGTCTATGTAAATATTGATATTTCAGATTTATATCGGTTGCCTCCATCCAGTATTTTTTTGTATGATTATGGCGGTAGGTTTTCTAGCATCGAGAAAGATTATTAGGAATGATTTCTTCTTTAAGAAATGGTCAGCTAATAAAGGATACGATGCTAAAAACATACATTCACTGGATAAAAAGTACAAGTGTCTAATCTGTGGACTTGTGCTTCGAGATGCTGTACAAATAGTCTGTGGTCATCGAATATGCTATTCATGTCTTCATGTTGAAAATAAGTAGGAACACAAATATTACTATTTGGTCATAATGAGTGTTTATATTTAGCGCTGTTCAATGTCCAGAATGCTCAGAAATAACATTGACATCAAAGGTAAATTGAAGATTTTTATTATCGTTCATTAATTGATCTAGTCAACTTCAATGATTTAATTTTAAAGATTAGACTTGATAAAGGATTCAATAATGACATACAAACATTGTTTATTGTCTGCATTTTATGCGAATGGACAGGTGATTTGAAAAACTATCAAGTATTTGTGTTGTGTTTCGTTCTTCAACAGTTTAACTTTCATTTATTTTCTTTCTATAAAGACTCATCTTGAACAATTTCATAATGAATTTAAATGTTTGTACTGCAATGAAACATTCATGTCTTTAACACTAATGAATCAACATAAAGAAACAACATGTCCACAAATGACGGTGAATTGTAAGCTTCAACCGTACGGCTGTAATGAATTGGTATGTGGTATAAAATGCTTAATAGTACGCTTTGTGTCTTTAGAATAGGTATTGCGCTGTCATCTATCGAAACATTATCTCAGTGAAATGCATCAAAAAATTCTTGTGCTCTATATTTCACAACTTGTCTCAAAGCTGACCGAAGACAGTCAAGAGATGATGTTCTCTGAAACACATGCCGAACAGAAAATAATCAATTGTCCATCTAAAGTAACTACTGCTTCATCAACAAATCTACTAACTGATGAGTATAATGCCCAACAAGAATATATCAAGGAAACGGTGAATATTGTATCAGGTGGCATTGAGACGTTAAATGATGATATACAGCGACTGAGTAGTGAATCATTGCAACAATCTCAATTAATCGAGATGACTAGTCAAAGTTTAACACAGCTAAAAGCATCGTGTGAAGAATCAAGTGTTGGTCTTAATGCATTTAATACTAATATGATTATTCTTCAACAGGATTGCTCTTCTTTAAAACACAAAATCGAAGAGACACAATTAATCTCTTATGATGGAATATTAATATGGAAAATTACCAATATTCAAGAGAAAATGAGTACATGTTCAGATATTTTTATTATTGCGATACAATGCATATAATTTTTTAGTCTTTAGTTTCAATTACAGGTGAAATACATTTTAAATAGCTGTAGGTTTTTTAAAAGATGCAAAAAGAAAATATTATTTGTCAAACAGAAGAAATTCCAATATTATTCGTTTAAAAACCGAAAAACCTATACAGTGGAAATCATTTTGTTTTAATATAACTATCTATTTTTAGTTGATGCTCAATCTGAACGGCAAGTGTCGATTTATTCACCACCGTTTTATTCCTCACCGACAGGATACAAAATGTGTGCTCGTCTCTATTTATATGGTGATGGAAATGCACGTCGTACTCATATGTCTCTCTTTTTCGTTTTGATGAGAGGTTTACATGATTCATTACTTCAGTTTCCTTTCACTTATAAAGTTACATTTTGTTTGTTTGATCAAAGTGGCGAACAACAACATATCATTGATTCATTTCGTCCCGATCCAAAATCAAATAGTTTTCAAAAACCACGATGTTATATGAATATTGCTAGTGGAATTCCAAAATTTGTCTCATTAGACAAAATTCAACAGCAAAATAATCGATATATCAAAGAGAATACAATGTTCATCAAAGTGATGGTAGATTTTGTAAATTTGCCAAAAACAATATTATCCTATACAGTGAGTTTAAATCCGGGTCTACCAACACATTGTCAACAACGATTGATACAACAAGAAATAGAACGAAGGGTACAAATGCAATCTCAAAAAAATTCGACAAATAGTGTAGTAACAACCAGTGACAATGTATTAATTAGCAATCAACTACCATTTGATAATGGCAATAAAATGAATTGATAATTGAAATTATACAAATGACAAGTCAAAATAAGAAAAACAACCATTTAAACTCATATAAATTATGTTCGAAACTATTTATTGCTCTTTGATTGATTTGAGTCGCTCATGAAAATATATCGAGCATGAAATTTTATTACTTATTTTTATCATTGTAAACCATAATGAAGAAAAAAGCTTCTATACATGCATGCATACCTAAGTGAAATAAGAAAAGAGAAGGCCAGTAAACAAAAGAGACACGTGGTTTTTTAATAACCAAGTAAAAGAAAAACGTAAATCATGAGAATGTCTCACGTGCTAAAAAGCACATAAGATAGATAACCTGAAAGCATACAGATAATATTTAAAAAAATATGAAACATTCTAAAAGACGATGGATTAATGTAAAAATAATGCATAGTTTCATTATGAAGAGTCTAAGGCATTGTTCAAAACTCTATGAGAATAAACTTTGGTAACAAGAAAGGAGAATAAAATTAGGATGAATCTAATAAAGATCAATTCTTGATTTTAATAATAAAGTATTCTTTTTTAAAACGAAAAAAAAATGGATGAAGCACAATGAGAAAATCGACGATATGTGAAGGATTGACAAGTAAAAATAATTCTTCAAGATAATATGATTATAACTTATTATAGTTACAATGACTATCAAATTATTTAACAACGTTTATTTTCAACTGTCTGATTAGGAAATTGTGAACGATGAAGTCATCATAGTAAATGATTTTCTGCAAAGATTTCTAGGTGAAATACAACAATAATACGAATAAAAACCTAATGTAATTTTGCCTTTGCTATTTTCAATAGAAAAGCTATTTGTGGACTTTTCATTAGATTGCTGCATCTAAGAATAATCTCTTAAAAATTTATTAGTATTATATTTTAATTGTTTTTTAGTTAACAAGATTTATCAAAAGCTGAATGAACGATGTGATTAGTCATTGTATGTCATAACTGTTTTATGGTTGTTACAAAGTATATGATCTAATGCAACTTTTTCGTCTAGCTTACAATGAAGTCTAAATCTGAAACTATTTTTTTGAAAACATATCCATTACAGGTGTATGTGAATCTTTTGTTGTCAAAAATAAATATACATTAAATGTCAGTATATTTTGTCAAAATACTAGTTCAGACAAAACAATTGAATCTTGAAAATGAATTGATTATTTATATTATTTTTGCTTTAAAGTACTAGAAATTAATACCAAATTGATGTAATCTTGCCTAGATTATTCGCTTGTAATATCCATTTCCATGATCACAATATTTCGAATTTGTTTTGTTTTTGTTGTCGACTTAGGTTCCATCAAGATTTTCTTTAAAGAATGATGGCTGTGTCTGAATTTCGTATAGTCTCATGTCTCACACTTCAAATATAATAATCACTAATAGAAAAAATAGAACGTGAGTCGTATTTTTTTTTTTCAAAAGCTGAATCTAGTCATACGATAATAGCTAAATATATAGAGATAGTTACAAAACAAAAACAAAAATATATAATCATCGATAATAGAAAACCTTATGAATACCAAAAAGATTTAGCATTATGACTTTATGTTTCTCAATATTGTCTGCATATTCTCAATTCTTTTCGTCTTTACTCAATAAGATAATAGAAAAAGCATAACCTTATCAAAGCTTAAATTCCATTGAATCCAGTTATTTCGATGTAAAAGAAGTTGATTGTAATTCATGCAAACTGAAAAAAATCGCTCAACGATTGTTTCATTTATCACGAAGAAAAATCAATTACTCTAGTTCCTTTTTTATATGAGTACACATATGTGTTTCATTCGAGGAAGAAAGATGACATTTTTATACTTTGAAGTTCCCTAAAGTATCACTAAGTAATGTATAGTTTTTTAAAATATCTTGAAGTAGGCATAACAAGTTTAAGTAACGTTAGCAAGTAGCAGCTGCTAACCAGTCCATAACCAGTTATCGCGTAACCAGTAACGAAAAATTCGGGAGTTAAATTTTTTCATCAAAGTATAAATGTTGAAGGAAAATCACGATTTACATTGAAATTCCATCAAAATTTCCAAAATCAAAGAATCCAAATCTCTAATCAGCTTTTCGGCACTCTAATCTTGGCTCCTCAGTCAAACTTTCTCGACCGCGAACAATTTTCATCAAATTTTATAAGAAATCACTGCTCCTTGAGGAACGTAGGTGAAGTTAGCACCAGATTCGAGTAAATCCCGCCAAGATTCGCCCAGGAACATGTTCCAACTGTCCCAAGGTGTGTTCCAAGTACAACTCGATGAGCTCTATCGAATGGTGTATTCCAATTCCCGATAGCTAAAACACCGTCCACGAAAATCAGAAAATACTAGATTTTCACCATAGGTGATTTTGCATCCATCCACTAAAACCCGCCAAGATTCGCTCAGGAGCATGTTCCAAGTGTTCCATTCGTGTTCCGAGTACAACTTGACGCGGTCTATCGAATGGCGTGTTCAAATTTTCCATAACTCAAACTGAGTCTGAGAAAATTTAAAAATACTAGTGTATCACCACAAAAATTCTGAATTTTATGCAGTAAAACCCGCCAAGATTCGCCCAGAAACATGTTCCAAACATTCCACTGGTGTTCCGAGTACAACTCGATGAGCTCTATCGAATGGTATATTCCGATTCCCGATAGCTCAAACCAAATCCAAGAAAATCAGAAAATACTAGATTTTCACCATAGGTCATTTTTCATCCATCTACTAAAACCCGCCAAGATTCGGTCAGGAGCATGTTCCAAGTGTTCCACTCGTGTTCCGAGTACAACTTGACGCGGTCTATCGAATGGCGTGTTCAGATTTTTCATAACTCAAACTGAGTCTGAGAAAATTTGATAATACTAGAGTATCAGCACTAAAACTCTCGATTTTAGGCAGTAAATCCTGCCAAGATTCGCCGAGGAGCATGCTCCAAATGTTCCATTTATGTGCTTAGGATGGCTCACACATCTTTATACGATGGTGTATTGAGCTGTTTAATACCGCTAACCGTGTACGCAGAAATCGCAAACATGGACCCCACTATACATGACTTTGTCGCTGATACAGTAAAATCAGCTAATATCTGTGAAGGAAGTTGTTTGCAGATGTCCCATTCGTGTTGAAAGGAGTGTTTAAGAGGCTCCATGCTTTTGTAGATTGCAATGGTCGAAACCACAAACTATACTGTAGATAACGCGTGAAAAACTATTAATAGGTGTCTCATATAATATGTAGCGATGATACTTATATTGTAAAATTAGCCGAAATTCATTTAGAAGTACGTTTCAAATGTTCCATTTGTGTCCTAGATACAACTTGATTTGCCCTGTCAAATGTTGTATACATGTTTTCAATACACTGAAATGCCTTACCGAAGTCTTTTATACTGTGGACACCAACCAAATAGGTCAATGAATTGTTTTGTTGCAGGGGAAAATTCGTTGTGAAATCTATTCTAATTTTGTTTTTTCTATCATATGCAGTAAATCTTCTATTTCAACTACCCGGGCAGACAAGCATGTCACTTTTTGTACTAATTTAGTATCAAAAAAAGTATGTCTAATTTTCTATATGACTTGTCCCCTTTGTACAGATTTTTTGCATCGAAATTTTTGATGGCAAAAAACGGCTGCTCTTTTTTCTCAAAAATAGTGAAAAACTTTTGAGCGTTTAAACGCATTAAAAAACATAAAATTAAGCGTCAAATTGTATGCAATTTTTTTGAACTATTTTCGAAAATTTTATTTTATGCGTTTATTAATTGTATTTTGTGAATAACAGTTATCTGTGTTTCTCTTCTTGCTAGAGCGGCATGGAGTTTTTTACAACATCCCAACCTCAATTCAGTACATAGTTATATTTTACTTTTGAAAGAGTACTAGCCAGCTCTACTTTTAGTCTCCACCATAAATTTCTAAAGAAGACAATCCTACAAAGAGTCCTATACATTTTTATCAAATGCATTTTTAGTGATACAGTAATTTAAATTTTTTGTGTTATCTTTTCCAACTAGCTTAAAAACACATCTTCAATTATCTTAAATATTACTGACATGAAACGACATAGAACGTAGCAATGAAAGATTTAAACTGCTGCATCACTGAAAATGCATTTAAAAAAGTGTATAGACCCTTTTTTAGGTAACTATCTTCCTCAGAAATTCATGGTCGAGTCTAAAAAAAGGAGCTTGGTCGTACCCTTACAAAAGTAAAGTACAACAAAGTACTGAATTAAGGCTTGCGTGTTGTATAAAAAACTCGATACCACTAAAGAAAGAAGAAGAACAGAAAGTACGAGTATACTAATGATCTAATGGTTCGCAGTTGAATCGTTCTTAGATTACATCTATGAAATGGCCTAACGACGAAGAACCCTATCATATTATGCTCAATTTGAATACTCACAATTTTCTCAAACGTCTGAACTCCTTGTAAACAAAATTTTTCTCTTTCAAATTTAAAATTCCTTTGTAAAGCGAATCTTTATATGTAAAAAACTAGAACATTCTATTTGATCTATAGTCCGAGTAACTCTTAGATAAAAACATAACGAATTAACAACTCATTCGCAGCTATTAGAATAGGTGAGACTGACTGGAAATACCACAGTATTTTTTTTCTTCCCGTATGACGTAAGTAATTAAAAGTAATTTTTTATCCAAGTATGTTCCCTCTTCATTTTGATCTTGAAAGTGGTCTAAATAAAAAAAAAAATATTTCTTTCTTTTTAAATAAATGCGTTACTATTCATTATGTCGTCCAGATAGATCTAAGCAATATTTTTATATTCACAATATTTTTCTATTTATACTTAGTGTTCATTTTGGTCTTAAGGTAGATCTAAATGAAAAAAGAAAACAATTTTTTCTCTAAACAATTACTTACCATTTATGTTGCTATAGATAATGATCAAAATAAAAAAGATACATAAGTTTTCTCAAGAAGTGCTTACTGTTCGTTGTATTATTGAGATTAATTTGAATAATCAAAAATAAACAAT